CTTCCCCCCCCCCCGTTTGACATTGCAAGAGAGAATGTCTCAAGCCCACAAAAAAAAAAAAACACCAAAAAAGGAAACAACGAGATCTTCTCTCGGCATCCCGTTCTTTCCTTTTTTGTGAGAGAGGGAGGACTCCTGAACACAGACAGAAATCCTTAAGCCTATCAGGGAATACAAGTCGAAATCTTTAGTAAATCCAATTGGGATTTACAAAAATCCTTTGTAAATCCAATTAGGATTTACAAAAATCTTTGGTAAATTCAATGATGGACTTGCTACTGAATCCGGTCGGAATCCGGATACGATACATGTCTGAATTGCTAAAACGGAGATACATGGAAATCTGAGGCTACCACGAAATGTCCATAGTCCATCATGCATACAGAAAAAAAGCCTGAATAGAACATACGTACGGTCATTATAGCTGAAATGTGGGCCAACTTTCAGTCTGGAGTCTGGATAAAAAAAGGTAGATAGAAGCAAGAGTGCAGGCCAGCAATTGTGCTCATTATAGCTGAATTTGGGCCAACTTTCAGTCTGGATACAGGTAGATAGAAGCAAGAGCGCAGGCAAGCAATTGTGCACAACCTTTCGTAAATCTACCATACTCCCCCAAATAAAACGTACAGTCATTATAGGCTTTTTTTATAGCTGATTTCAGTCTCCACATAGAGTAGAGATAATGACCCTTTTATGTTCTATTCAGGGGAAGACAATAGCCATAGTCGACGAAAACTGCCAATCACCATCATGATCTGGGGCTGTTAATCAGGAACACCTCCAGTTCAAACTTCAAACACGTTTGTTTCTAATCTGGGGCGGTGAATCAGAAGCACCTCCACGGGTTCGAGCACATTTTGTAGAAAGAAAAGAGAGAAGAGAGCCAGGCGGATAACCGGCCCAGATGAGAAACGTGTTCGTAGCCGAGGTGCTGCTGATTGCACGCCAGCCGGATAACCGCCCCAGTTTGAGATCATTATGTCCTTGAAGAGCAGGTGTCGTGCAAAACGTGTTTGTACGCGAAGTGCTTCTGATTGCACGACAGCTGCTATTCAAGGACAAAATTATCTCAAACCGGTCCAGCCAATTACATCGATGACTAATCCCTAAGCCCCAAGCCCCAAACCCCGGTTCAAGGACAAAATTATCTCAAGCTGGTGTTCAATTACGTCGATGACTAATCCCTAAGCCCCAAGCCCCAAGCCCCAAGCCCCGGTTCGAACCATCTATCCTTCTCTCTATCAATTCCCTGTCAACAGAAGAACAAGTGAGCGGTCCGACAATCGTATTTGGACTGGGACAAGGACATGTTTCTAGTCGCATTTCTGGGCATTAGGATAGAAAAAAGGCAGCTGGTTGTCGATCCCATAACCGACTCTACTACTCCTTCCCTCTCTTAATTAGTAGTTACTACTTAGTAGTTACACCTCTCAGCCGCCATGGTTGCAGAGAGCATGCATGCCTCCCGCCCTCCCTTATCACAAGTCCTTGCCCACTGTTCCTCCACAGCCAGTTATTTTTCCTCATTCCCCTCACTTTGTTTCTTTCCCTGCTTCCCCTTCCTTCCTTTCCTTCTGCTCTCACTGACAAATCCTTAGCTTCAGCTTCCATGCTGCAAGAGCACAACACCGTAAACCGCCAGTACATTGCCCAGGCAAACTTGAGAATCGAGATCGAGCCAATCTGAAAAGTTCGGGGGCTCGGGGCTACCAGACCACAATGGCTGGCAGCGCCAGCCAAAAAAGCGAAAAAAAAGTGTGCCGCTGGCGGTCCAGCAAAGCTCGGTATGCAGTGCAAGTCCACCATATGGCAAAAAGCGACTCGAATGTACCGCTTCTTGCATCAAAGGGGTGCAGGCCATCCCTACCTCCTCTACCTCCCTTGATTTTCCTCGCTTCGTCTCATTCAACACAAACATCCCTTGACAGACACGGACCCGTAACTACCTCCTCCCCCTCCATGCATTTACCTCCTCCCCCCTCAATGCATTTCCTTTCCTCGCATATAATTATGCCCCTGCGCTATCTCCGTCACAAACATCACGTGTGGGGAATGCGCTCTTCATCCATTGTTATGCACTGATGAAGGCTGCGCAACAATGGTTGACAGGCAAGCAGCCATTCCAGCATGAACTCGCCCGTTCCACTCCCATGACGTGTTAACTACGTTCATTCCCGTTCAGCGCTGGCGGCTTCATGGCCCCATCGGCTACTCGGGTGTCTGTCTTCTAACAGGTCGTAGAACAATCGTTCCCGCAAACACCATGTTGTGCCTCTACAATCTTGCCTGCAGGGAGGAGATCAACTCTGAAGTTCCCATCAAGGCTGCACCATAGTTTCGCTCCTTTACAGAGCACCGGAAAGCGACTTGCTGCACATCATGGTTCTGGTCCACCGTCCGCACCCCCTGCATCGGTTCCCGTTCAGCACCGGCGGCTGCATGGCCCCATCAGCTACTCAGTTATCTTCTTCTCGCAGTTCGCAGATCAATCGTTCCCGGAAACAACATGTTGTGCTTCTACAATCTTGCCTGCAGCGAGATCAACTCTGCCGTTCCCATCAAGACTGCACCATAGTTTTGCTCCTTTACAGAGCACCGGAAAGTGACTTGCTCCACATCGCGGTTGTGGTCGGCACCCCCCTCCTCCCCGCCCAGGTTGCCACCGCTGTGCCTGGTCCTGTTTCCCCGCCAGATCTCTGTTCGAAGTGTCTCACCCGGAAACACATGAAGAAGAAATCGGCCGTGTAGTTTCCGTAGGCGCTCCGGATGACCTGGACAACAACACCGGATGATCGCCCTTGCGGCATATCCGAAGGTGCATAGTCCATGAAGGATTGGCCTGTTGAATCCAGCCTTCGCAGCGATCTCCATGTTCGAATGAATGGGATTGACATCACCGCATAAGCGAAAGAGCAGCGCCTGAGCAAGGAGTGTCGTCTCCTCCCACATTAAGAGCGCAGGACGTTGCCTATCGAAGTTAGCGGAAGGAGTGGTCGTCGGAGAAGGGGCAGGTCTATTAGTTTCACTTCTTGTCTTCTCTCTCTTCCTCGGCATCGCCATTGAATGAGAGGGTCCCAGCTCTGAGGACGAGGAGCTGGCAGTTACACCAGTGGTTGGCCCAGAATTGAGAGCTCTGTCCTCCTCAGCGAGGCCTACACCAGCACCTTCTAGTGTTGCTGGGAGAGAGGCGGCCCTTCTCGTTTTGCCCGCTGCAAACTGACCAGCTCCTCATAGAAAGCAGGATGTCAAGTTAACACAGAGTTCTCTCCCAGTCTTCACATCGATAGACTGCGTCCTGATTACAATAAGTGCTCCTTTGCCCTTGTCACGAATGTCCACAATCCTGCTTTTATTGCGAACCTTTCCACTTGTGGGTAATGGATGCACGACCTCTATCACATGCTCCCCATGGAGGAGGAGGGACGGATCATACGATAATCCTGGAGTCTTTGGCAGATTTTCAAGCAGGCCTGCAATGAACAGTGAAGCAAACGATGGCAGCGTTCTTACACTATACCCACTCCTGTTCCGACCTTCAATATCGCAAACCAGGTCCAGTTCCATGCGGTCCAAGGGGTCTGACAACCCTGCTCCCACCGAGAGCGCATACATAGCCACATCTCTCTCTGTGTACTCTATCTCTGTCTCTACAACCACATGGCCTACCGCCTTCGAGGGATCAGTTTTGCCCCTAGCCCCCACCATCTCTCTCTCTCTCTCTCTCTCTCTCTCTCTCTCTCTCTCTCTCTCTCTCTGCCTAGCATATACCGGACATCTTATCCGGCAGCAAAAGAGGTAAGGGCTCTGACTGGAGGGGACTTGACTTGACAATGGAGAAGATCTGCAGTTCCCAAAACCCCACAGTCATCCGACAGGTGGCAAGGGGAAGAAGTGAGTGTACCGGCTGAAAAATGCGAATTGTAACACCTGGACCGTTATGTTCCTTTCTTTTCTGCAGTGATTGACACCATTCACATGTCCTGTACTTGCTGCCTGTGATCGATCCACTTTGACAGCATTCAAATGTCTGACTTTTCCTGGGGTCGACTTCCAATACTCAGTCTCCGCTCAGAGGCTATCTGACTGCTTGGTTGTTCTGCTGGCAGACATAGCTGATATATGTTACCCCTCCAAGTACCCTGCACATATGACATGTCCTTCATGATCAATCAATACCTGCTGCGCGGCTGCAGATGTTAGTAAATGCAGTGGACTAGCGTACGGTAGAGCACATGCATTCAGGTATCCGACCGTATACGGTCCAAGTTCCATGGCAGGTGTGGCAGCCATCCGCATCACCCTGCTGGACTTAGCTGTTCGAACCCCTCCCCCCCCGTGGACTAGCATACGGCAGAGCACATGCATTCAGGCATCCGACCATATACGGTCCAAGTTCCATGCCAGGTGCGGCAGCCATCCGCATCACCCTGCTGGACTTTGCTGTCCGAACCCCTCCCCCCCCCTGGACTAGCATACGGCAGAGCACATGCATTCAGGCATCCGACCATATACGGTCCAAGTTCCATGCCAGGTGCGGCAGCCATCCGCCCCACTCTCCTCTCTTAAATTCAATAATAATCACACAGGTGAAGCTTCCCACTACAACCGTCCAACTGATTGCGCAAACGATCCCGCGACCGACNCCACTCTCCTCTCTTAAATTCAATAATAATCACACAGGTGAAGCTTCCCACTACAACCGTCCAACTGATTGCGCAAACGATCCCGCGACCGACCCTACAACCAATTGTGCAATCTCAAAGGATTTCATGGATCCCAGAGTCCCACTCGCGGTCCCATTCCCCAGGTACCTTTCTGTTCCCAGTTCCAAGGCCCAGTGTTCCATGCATCACAAACTAACTGGCAGGTATCTTCGGCCGTCCGTACCAAGTCCTGTAGGCCATATGATGATTCAGAAACTCTATATCGGCAGTCGGTTCCATAGGTCCATAAAGGGGTCCATACAGGTTGGTAGCTCCAGTCAGTGAGTTCTATCAGTCATCAGGAGTTGCAGCTCAGTGCCAGGAAATCCAAAAAACTCCGGACACATCGAAGCCGATGACATCACACGCGGGGCAACCGGTCCCACGCATCAAAGCTGTAGCTGCAGCAAGTACAAAAGTTGGGTGACAGCGGAACATCAACACAATTTCCATATGGAGCTTGCTGCAGAAGCGCCGTCGTGGTCTTGTGCTGTCGTGCACTAAGTGACGAGCAGTCAAGCTTAGGAGAAGACTACGGCGTGCGGCACCCTGGCTAGGAGCTAGAAGAAGAGAGGGAGAGGGAGAGAGAGAGAGTGAAAATAGGGAGACATTCGGAGAGGAATGAGAGGTAGTTTACCTGAGTTTGGATGTATGTGGACACCTTCAGGGGAAGCTACAGTAATATTTTGAATGATTCAAGGTACATACAATCCTTAGAATCTTTTATACTCGTGTTTTTTTTTATTTTATTTTTTTTATTTGGACCATTTCTCGATTTATGTGTGTCATCCTTGCGCAGGGGCCATGCTAATCTTCTCTGTATCGTTCCAATTTTAACGGATGTCCCGTACTCGTGTGTTGTTCTCTACTTCGTATGAATTTTTGATGTGCTGAAGAAGTGGCATCAGAGCGACCTCTCATTGTCTCCTCGCGCTGTGGTGTCTCCTCGCGCTGTCGGGTGTGACGTGCCGCGCATCTTAAGTGAAAGCATGTCCGCAACAAGGCGAAGCACTGATGAATGTCAACATCCTGGGGGCGAACGCTCATCAGGTTCTCAAAAATATTTCTGAGTCACTTACCGCGACTGGCACATGTGTATGAAGAGAGTCGAGCGCGATCAAAGAGCCTGGTGGGTTCAGAGACAAAAACAAGGGAATCAATGCAGGAGAAGAGGTTATGGGTATCCGGCATACGCCGCCGCATAGTGTAGATGCGCGCTCATCCGGAAGATGGATTACCTGCTGCAGCGAACAAGGCATCAAGTAACAGATGAGAAAGCCTTGTGACAGTTACCCAAGGCCATGCCTGAGCCAATGAGGAACACATTAGCCCCCAATCTCTAGGAGGAAGGGATGACCTACCAGCGATATAAAGAGAAGGCCCGGCATATTGCAACCCTCTCGATGGAAGGGTTGCTACCTATCTACTGCTAGTAAAAGAGAGGGAGATGGGGGAAGGGAAAGAAGATTATCAAGAATGCAGCCAAAGACTGTATTTGTCATTCTAGAAGGTGGCGAGGGTGAGTCATGAGATTGAGTGGATTGCGAGAGTCGGTACCAGGGAGAGAAGTACGTCCCTGTTGCGTGCCCTAAGGGAGGACCCGAACAAGTAGGCGGTGGAACGAAATTCCCAAAACAGAACAAAAGTGGCGGATGCAGTTTCCGCCACGACAGGGGTCCATGGGAATCCACCACAGCAGGGAGGTGGAAATAACTTTCCACCTCATGGCCCAAGATGGTATCTGCCACACCCAGGAATGAGAGATGGTCAACGGATGGCCCAAAATTTGGGGGGTGTCGTCCAATCACTACAAGCAATGTCATCAAAAAAATTGTGAACAAACAATGCAGGCTCATAGTACAAACATTAAAAAAAAAAAAAAACAGGCCAAGAAAAAACGAAAAAAAAGACCTCAAAAGCTGGGCTGGGCCGACGCCCAGCTGGGCAGGCCCAGGCCAGACGGACCGGGGAGGGTCCGCTCAGCAAAACAGGGCAGCCGGAAAAGTGTCCCGGAATTTATTTTTATTTTTTTCTGAGAATGGGGTTTTGCTGCGCTTGCCGAGAGCAGCCCAAAACCGCCGAGAAACTCGTGAAAGGTATTCGGGGTGTCTCTTATACACATCTAGATG